ATTTTTTTTTTCATTGTGTTTTATTGTGGTTGTAAACATAAAATCAGTCTGTGTTAATTCCTGGAAATGCGGTGCTGAGTAATGGGTATATAAAAATATCGAAATTATATCAATATTTTTTCTCACTGCTTCGATACGATATCAATAAGTGTAAAAATATCGATATTATATTGATATTTCGATTTCGATATGCCCACCAGAAGATCTTACCGTTCAGTTTGTTTGTTCGACATAATCGTTTGATTCGGTGATTTGTCTTGTCCGACCCACAGGAGTACGTGGACTACTACGGAGGGGCGGGTGTGCAGCACATCGCTATGAGGACCAACGACATCATCAAAACGGTAACAGATTGTCTTACTCTCCACCATCTCGACCGTCAATAATTTGTGTCACGACGCAGTGGAATCAGGCGCTCGTCAAAATAATGAAATCGAAGAAAAGGCCATTTTTTCAACTGGTTTGGCAATTTTTTTCGAAAAATTGTTTTTGTTGACTAAACACATTTTATGTTCATATGAAAACAGATTTCCTTGAGAATTATGCTGAAAAACATTGTTTAAAGGCATAAAATGTATAATTTTCAGTTTTCAAGGACTCTTAAGCTATTGAAGTTACTCATTAATTTAACCATTGAAACCAGGCTACCCCACCTTCTTCAATCGCAAATATCTGGACTTCTATTCTAGCTAGATGGACATTTTTTCATCAAAAGAAAGACAAATGAACAAGCTTTAAGATGATATCAATAACCCTATAAGCTCAAAACTGGCAAGCGCCTGATTCCACCTTGTCGCTTCACATTTATTCATAGAGGCACCAGCCATCCATGTCCAGGTGCTGTTTTAGCTGTTTTCCTTACTCTCCCAGGCTGACTCACTGTATCGGCAACAGTGTTGTCGCGGATGGGTGGGCTGGGTCGCCTTCATGGGCAGGGAGTTCGATTCCCAAGTAGGGAGAATTTTTATTGAGTATCTCAGTCTTTGTGCTGGGCCGGGATGTCGTGTCCCTCTGAGCCAGGGTCTGTCTGCTAGGATGTTGTGTCCCTCTGAGCCAGGGTTTGCCCTGACAGGTATAGAAGAAGCCTGTCTCCTAAATTACTACATGATCTAAATTGTGTCAATAGGGGTTTAAAAACACGACAACAAAAAATTTTTTTAATAAAAAATAAATAAAAATTTTAAGCAAAATGTGAACTTACTGTTTTATGTTACAAAATATGATATCATGATCAAATGTCATGTCATATTAATGGAGCATAAAAAACACCTGTACATAATTATGTAAAAACCAAAAAAATTATTTTATGTAATTTTGACCTTGTGGTATCATTTACTGTCGTCAAATGATAAAACTCGGTTTGGACTTCCATCCATCTTTTTGATAGATCTAGATTGACATACATTTGTGCTTTTGGCTAACTGGGTGGTTCTTTCCCCCCTACATACATGAACATACACGCAATCACACATACACATGCATACGCACACACACACACCCACACCCACACACACACACACACACACACACACTCACACACACACACACACTCACCTGTCTAAGACAACCACCTGTACAAACGACCACCTGTATAAGACAATCCCCTGTTTTAATGGTTACCTGTATAAGACAATCACCTGTACAAACGAC